ATTACCAAAGGACAGAAGGGGCCCGGGAATACACCCCAACAAATCAACCCGGTACAGAACATGCTCGGGCCTTTACCCAGCTGTAGGCTCATGGAATTCTCAATTGGTTGACAAATGTCAGTGGCSTGAACGGCTACGGGTTTGAGCAATTTGGCACCCCCTCTCCAGGGGGTGGCAATTCCCCCCCCCCCAGAATCTGTGAGCTCACAGAAGAGAATTGCAGGCATCCATCAACTACTTTCATKGTGTGACACCGCAAATGGGCAATTTCGCAAATCGGCATTCAATTAGGATCAACCAATTTGCCACCCCCTGTGTGACTACGCAACACAGCAAACTGGCGAACCCGGAGAAGGAAACGCCGCACATTTTGCTGTTTTGCTACTCGTGTGGGTGGTAAAGACCGAAAAGTTTTTCGTTTGGGCTGTTTCCACCGATAATCGGAGGGGAGGGAAGGCTCAAAAGGGAGTTCAGATGGAAGTGGATAAAAAAAAGGAAGCGATAAATTCACGAAAAGCAGACAAGAGGGTGCGTTACGTGCAGCTCCATAGCGTTTCGTTTTTATGAACAGGAGGTCCACCGTTGCCGAGTGCTATTTCGGACTGGATCTGACCAAAGTTCCGCACTAGATCTAGTGGAACTGATATAGGGAGAATTCTTGGCCAAATTCATCCAGAAATAGCCCTCACCAAGTAGTAGCGCTACTAGAAGAAGAGAGAAAATTTAGGGAGGGGGGAGGAGTGAGGGGGGGGGGGGGGGTTGCTGAAGGAGGAACACCGGGTTCCACAAACAGAAATGGACACGGGGTGCCCGACTTCTTTGGACTGCTTGCTACCTTACCTGAACGGGAAAGAACTCCGACCCCATGTTTTCTGCCTCCCTCTTCTCCTGGGGGCCATTTCTAATTGGCTCTGAATTTCCCTGCGACTTGAACCGACTTCTACCTGAACGTTTCTGCAATTTCAGTTTTCGCCGTCACCTTTTCGTAGAAACACGTGGACTTTTTCGAAAGGCTAAAACTGAATCCTCACCTGCTTGTCGTTCTCTCGCACTGTGTGAATTGGCGGGTACGTTCTAACCGGAATAGTTTGTTGTCCCAAACACACAAAGGGATATTCCGTCCTTCGTTATTCTTTCCAATAGTTTCTATTATGCATTCGTGTACCCTCTCTCTCTCTCTCTCTCTCTCTCTCTCTCTCTCTCTCTCTCTCTCGCACACACACACACACACACACACACGGAAACGCATTGATATATACGCACATCATGACGCATGCATACTCATGCTTGTCGGGCTCTCGCACTGTGTGAATTGCAAGTAACGAGTTTAAAAGACACACATGCAAACGCATTGATACATACGCACATCATCACGCGTGCATACTCGTGCTTGTCGGGCTCTCGAACTGTGTGAATTGCAAGCGAGTTCAAATCCATCAAACACGTCAAACAATCCATCTGCCTCGCGGGACTTAAAAACATTCGTATTCCCCTCATCTCCGCTCGAGAGCTAAACCACATCGTACCCAAAGGTTGCAAAAAAGCGAAATAAAAGTAACGAAGTAACGAGTTCAAATCGAAGAATCCATCTGGCTCTCGGGACTYCAAGCTATCGTATTCCCCCCATCTCCGATCGAGAGCTAAACTGCATCGTACCCAAAGATTGCAAAAAAGCGAAATAGAAGTAACGAAGTAACGAGTTCAAATCCATCGAAAACGTCAAAGAATSYATCTTGCTCTCGGGACTTCAAACTTTCGTATTGCCCCCATCTCCGCACGCGCGCTATASCTCGTCGTACCCAAAAAGGACAAGCATTGCTCCACAGACAGCAAACGTTTCAAAACTTGATGATAGATATCCCGTTGTTCCTCGAACCCTGTCTCCTTCCTGCAGAAAGTCGCTCGCACAATAAAACATCSCATCATTGTGAACAGAGGGGCAGCTCTTATCCTTTGTCCAACTAGATTCCAGGCTCGTAYCCTTTGTCCAACTGGATTCCAGTCGACAATTGCTACCTGCTTTTCCCGAGTCTCTCGAGTCTCTCGATATTCAGAAGAGCTGGTCGGTGAACCAAGTCCAAAAACTTACTCCCTGCTGTTCTCGAATCAGTCGAGGTTCCGAAGAGCTGTTMCGTAATCCAAGCCCAATCAAAGAGACTAAAAAAGCACCTAATTTTCAGAGAGCTCTGCTCGACTACGTAGCATTTGCTGCTWTGTTAGACAACCGTGGCATTGCATCGCTTCCAAATGYCAATGACCAGGAAGACTGGGCAGCAGAGAGAGGGTACGGTATTCGGACAGCATATATGGCGACAACACCATACACACAGCGTCGGTTGCAGAATAAATAAATAAATGGAAAAGAGGACCATCACATCAAAATCCACTACCGCAACCTACAAGATGGGCGCCCATCTTCTATCCCCTTCATGAAAGAACTAGAGAAACCGTCCGTCAACATGAACCCCCAAAAAGCGAACTGATCTGACCTTTACGTCCGGCAACAGTCTTACACATAATGACAGCTAGCTAGCCACTCAGTCCAACGTCTAATCCACCACCGCGAAGAGCAWGATAGACTCCGATCTTCTCTCCCCTTGATAAATAACCTAGAGAAATTGTCTGACAACGTAAGCCCGAAAAAAGCCACGTGACCTTCCGCTTACGCGGCCAGAGTCTTATACACAATAACTTCAACTTAACCACTCTCTCGACCTGTAATCTACCCTAAAACGGGGAAAAAAACGACTGCCGCGACCACTCTTCTGCGACAMGGCTCTTCCGCACCTMAGCCCAGATATAAACAGCCAAAAAGTCTCGTTCCGCTAGATGGACACGCTGTTGGGGATTCCCCGCGTCCCGTTCGGGGTGTCGTGCAAGAAAGACAACTCCTGGGCATTGTTGCGAGGGAACAAGTACTCGTACGGCAGTCTCCCCCTGGGCTTGTTCTCCTGATTCATGCGCTCTATGGCCACCACTGCATCGTCAAGATCGTCGCACAACTTTTTGTAAGCCTGCTGCGCTTCCGGATCCACTAACCAGCCGAAGGCGGTCTGATCCGTTCTCCCAATGTACTCCTCGTCGTCCGAGAACCTCGACAATATGTCCACGACCATCATCACGGTAATCTGATCCTTGGGAAGAGGCAGGACGTCCATGAACGCCCTCTCATCTACTTCCTCTGGCATTGGCTTCCTCATGCATGAGGGATTGTTCGGCGAGAACGCCGAGTAATCGTACTGGCCAAAGTTGACGGCGGAGTGCTGGGCGCTGGCTGTCCACATCATGGTCGCGCATATCAAAGCCAAATCCTCGACCGTGTGCAGCGCCGGCCACTCCTCCGCGTCGGGGAGAGAGAACTCGGACTTGGAGGCGCCCAGCTTCACGTCGGCCCACCAAGCTGACACCTCCTCGTCCCGCGCGATCGCCTCCATGGCGCTCTCCCCCTCGCCATAATAGATCTTCAGGTACGTCAGGCAATACTTGAGGATCGCGTTCCAGACGAGCATCCCGGCGTCGCGATACGGATAGTAGGGAAGGACAGCCACGTCGCSCACTCCTCTCTTTTCCAAATTCACAGGCAAAGCTTGCTCCTGGAACTTCCAGGACTTGAACAGCTCGGCCGAGGCTGCCATGCACTTGGGCCCAGGCGTGAACACGGACTCGATGATGCCGCCAGCATTGATCAGCCTCGTACGCGCCCTGTAATTGATGCTCATCGTGAACCGAAAGTGAGGAATGAGGAGCTTGAAGACGGGGTGCCATTCGGACACTCGCCTGCGGAGAGCCATGAGATAAACCTCGCAGACTGCGTGGCATTCCAAAAAGTGCCTACCCACCTGGTGCACGGCGCTGTCAGCGCTTGCCACGTAAGCCTTGRCCAGAGTCCACTGCCACCTTCCGACGCTCGTGTCCTTGGCGCGCGTGTACACCTTCCCTCCTCTCTCCAGCTGGACGGCTATGGGGATGACGTCATCGTCATCATCACGGAGCAGCAGGCAACGAGGAGCGTACAAGTACCGCAACTCCTTCCCCGGAGAAGCAGGCCGATTGACGATGGGCCTGAGAACCTCAAGCAGAGAGAAGTCGAGGATGAAGACGCGTCGGGCCTCGACCGCTGAGGCAAGTGTTAGCCCATCGGGGAGGGCGTCGCCCAGCTCGGCGTCGGACACCAAAAAGCCTTCAGGCCGGCGAGCCTCTGTCTGCCGAACTCCTTATCGGACTTCCAGTCGATCCCGTTCTTCAGTACGACCGGCTTGCGGAAAGCCCCGACTCCTTCGAACAGTCCGTCGATGAGCTTTTTCACGCTCTTCCATGGCTTGCTGGACTTCGTCGATAGCGGATCAGCAAACACTGCCTTCGCTTTTGACTTGACCGACTCCGACAAGAAATCGTAAGTCTTGGAACAGTCGAAGTCGTCATCGATCGGGATCCCGATACTCTGTCCGGAGACCGTGGATGCCTGCCGCTTGGGGTACGGGTGGAGCGGAGGCCGGAAGTTGGGACTGCCTCGATCCACCAGCTCCGGCGGACTGCTCAGATCGTCGTATTGGTCGAACTGGTACACCTCCAACTGCTTGTGCAAGGCTCCTCCCCGATAGAGCTCGTTCAGCCTCGCGGGAGTCTGCCAGGGGAGCCGAGAGCTGCCCTCGAAGATGACGCGGCCTCTGCTCGAGTTGGGCACGTACGAGTAGCAGGGGAACACGTACTTCTTCAGCTTGCCGTTGTCCCCCCCGCCGTCGGCCGTGTAAGCTTCCGTCTCGATCTCCACCCTCCTCACGTACCAGTGCCTCCCCTGCGTCGCGTCGTTGTACAGAAGGATCACCGTCGGATTCACGTTCTTCGGAAGATCGTTGATCCTCACCGACTCCGTGCTGCCAAACTTCCACAACCCCGTACCCAGATCGTAACCGTCTCTCTCGCCTGCGCAATGTGCAGGGGCGCGAGGTCCCTCAGGGTCTTCCTCGCCATCMCCGACGATGACCATCCTCACTCTGCCGTACATTCCATCGTTCGCATTGTCTCCCATGCTGATGCGAATCGTCGCGAGCTTCATTCCCTCCTTCGGGGGTGCCGAGGAGATAACTCGGACCGTTTGCTCGACCACTTTAGATCCCACAGACACAGCTGACCCGGCCACTGCCGCTCCCGCCCCCACGACCGCAGATCCCGCCGCCAGAGCTGAGCTGCCTGCAGCTGCGCCAACCCCCACGACCGCGGATCCCGCTGCGCCGGCTACAGCTGCCCCTGCTCCTAAGGCCCTCGATCCCACCGCTGCAGCCGAGCCGGCTGCAGCCGAAAATGTCGAAGAAAAGGCTCCCGCCAACCCCTTCATCTTCCCCTTTCTTCAGTGCACCCCGACAGAAGAAGAGAGCACCCAAGAAGAACGCAATCTTTCCCTATCGCGTTTCCTCTCTCCCTATAGTTTACCGATCAAAGTTCACACTTTCCCGTACAAACCGAAGAATAAACAACGCCAACGGTCTACCTTCCCCACCCCAGCAGCAAACTTCCATCCACCACACACGTCGGTCCGTGCGTCACACCTCGTTACTCGTGTGTTGGGGCAAGATATGCAGTACAGCAGCGGCTGAAATGTCCGGTACGCCAGTCGGTTGTCCGCATCCATGTCCGCCAAAAGTCCACCGTGTCAGCATCCCGCCACGCCCGTGACACCACACATCACATAAACAACGTCAAATTCGTCAACACATGCAAACACAAAAAAATGAGTGGACGGTCATTTCTCCAAGAAAAAGCATAACTCTCCTATCATTTGGGCTTCTCTCATAATAACAAAAAGAAGAACCTGACAACAGACCGAAATTCACTGGCAAGAAAACAGGAGGGAACACCACCGAACCTTTTTTTCCTCATCGCAGGTGTTTTGTTCGGAAAGAGATTACCTTCTCTCTCTCTCTCTCTCTCTCTCTCTCTCTCTCTCTCTCTCTCTCTCTCTCTCTCTCTCTCTCTCTCTCTCTCTCTCTNCCGTATGTGGCGGTCCTCTTCGGAGAGACAGCGCGAGCTCTGACTATCTCATGAATAGCAGTACTCAGTGATTTCATCTGTGGACTGTCCTTGACCTGTCTCTTATACACATCTAGATGTGTATAAGAGACAGTTGTTAAACAATGCCCGATCCTTGCTGGCGTGGCGACACAATGATATGTTCGCAAGGATCGGGCGGGGCTAAACGTTTGCTGATTAAGAATGCCACCCAACACTCCTACGTCGTCCCTGAATCCTCCCCTCTCATACGTCGATCTCTTCGTGGACCCTAGTCGTTCCAGACTCCTGCTCTTTCTCGTCCGTTGAAACCTTCCTCATCCTCATCACGCTCTTGTTCGTCATCATACTCTTCAACCTCGTCGAGCTCTTCAGCCTACCTACTACTCTCTCGCTCGAGCGCGGGCAACAGCTCACGAGTGTGAAGTAAAAAATGCAAGTCTTTCAAATATCAACCAAGGAAAAATTAACGCTGCGACCATTGAGCCAAGCTCACTTGGTACACCCATGAACTGTTGAAACACAGACCCAAGTTCGAATCCAGACACAATCACATGCAAGAACAAAATATTCTGCATTACCTGGGGTCAGTCCGTTCAACAATGATATCTGAAAGCCATCGCCCTTATTTCAAAAAAAAAACAAAAAAAACAAGAAAACCCAACGACATTCCCTCCGCTGCTTCTCCGTTCTCCCCGCCGCTCTCAACGAACGACATTCCCTCCGCTGCCCGCTCCGTTTTCCCGGCCACTTCCCTACGCTGTCCCCACCGTCTCCCCCCTTCTCAACGAACGACATTGCCTTCACGAATCCACCAAACAGTAGAAAACACTGACTGCGCCCTAGTTTTCCCAAAAAAACAAAAACATAAACAACCTCTCTGGCACCAGTTTAGACGGCATTTCGTCTCTCATTCCAGATTATATCTCCAAGAAGAACGGAAACCACCAGCCCGCCTACACTGAGGTCGATCCAGGGGGGGAAAACAAGCACGGGTGTCGACCAAGCCATCGCTCTCTCTCGCTCGCACGCTGTGTTTCACACGCACGCGCGCGCACACGCACACGGGGGCGACGGACGACTGCTGAGGAAGCAGAAGGAACGAAGAGGGAACGGAGGACGATGGAGTAACGATGGAGGAGGAACGGGAAAGGAGGAAGACTCTGGAAGAGGGCGTGCACATGCGACCGCCAAAGCTGCTCTTCCCCCTTCCGCCCCATCTCTCTCTCTCTCTCTCTCTCTCTCTCTCTCTCTCTCTCTCTCTCTCTCTCTCTCTCCCCACACACATCCCTTGATCCATCCACATTTCCGTACCCACACACTAACTCACATGGACAATTAACGAGACGAAAACGAGGAAGGATGGACGATGGCGGAAGAACGCGGAAGGAGGGAGGGAAACGAAGAGCGAGCAAGGAGAGGACGGAGGAATATAGGGGATGGAGGCATGACAAGTCGGTGTACCTGAGACGGGGAGAGCCGGGCTCTCTCTTTCTCTCCTGCTTTCTCTCGTCACTCTCTGATTCTGTCGTCCTTCGTCTCACTTCAACGGCGACCTTCTCCGTTGCATGCTGGCGAGCGAGATTATTATAAGGCCGCTCGTCCGTATGCCTCACTCCTTCCCGGACTTGGACGAAATGACCCGGCAAATTTTTGGGGGTACAACAGGGCGAGAGCACATGGACCTCACCTTCCCGCTTTTTCTTTTCCGCGGACCACGTTTTTACGAGAATGGTGTTCGCTCCAATGGCGGGTGCAGTGGGCCTATACGGGCGCGGGCATGTTCCTGTCCCTTTTCCGTTTTTTTTCCTCCTCCTTTTCCTGGGACGCGCGTGTTTCAAGAAACGTGGCAAGTTTTTTACCCGCACCAACCTACGGGCCTCGCTCCACTAGTCTCCACATATACAAACGACAGAAAGTACGGATACAAAAGACAAAAAGTACGGTGGTCTATCTTTCCATGCTCTACGGGAACATTCACTGTATCAACAAAAAAGGCCCTGTATCTACAACAAAACGAACGAAGTCCTTGGGGGCAGGAGGAAAGCCGGGGCCTAGTCCCACTAGCAGCGTTAAGTTTCCCCAACGCCTGAATCCGGACGCTGTTTTGGTACATCTTCACAAACTCGTCCGGATTCACGCGTTGAGGAAACTCAACGTTGCGAGTGGGACTTGGGACCTTTCCCCCGGAGCCAAGTCCCACCTGCCGAATTCTTCATTTCTTTCCCCCTGAGCCGGTCCTCTGCACGCGGCTCAACAAGACCGAGTTTTTAGCTAAGTGCATGGAGCCCCGGCACCAGCTGCACGCGTTGGATCAAGCAGCACCAAGGGACTCGCTGCACTACTCTCGAAATGTTCAAAACCAGAGTGAATCTTCCCCTAGAATATGGGAAGATGCACCGCCATGATTTTGGTCTTCTCCGCACGTCGAGAGTAGCTACACACGTTTATTCTAATCGAGTCACAGATGAGCAAGACAAACAGAACACGCGCTATCATTTATCAGTTGCAAAATCGAACAGCGTACACGCCAGCTTTCAGAATGTCGTGATGCGCGTCAGCGCGCAGCGAGTGTACGGCGGCGTCAAGCGGGAGCTTCTTGCTTTTGTTTTTCCTTTTTCTTTTTTTGGTGAGGCATGTTACACCTCAGCTTTTTTTTTCTGAAGGCACTTTTTTTTTTCTTCTTTTTTTGAAAACTGAAGGCACATTCACTTTTTTTTTTTTTTTTTTTTTTTTTTTTTTTTACCAAATCATTACCATTAAGATCCGGGGGCTGGCACTTGGCAATGTGGAATGTAAAGCTAAAGCTCTGGCCGACGACTTATTCGCAATTTGCAAAAATTCAGGCGAAGCAATGGAGGCATTAAAAACTCTGTTGGACGAATATTCCTTATTTTCAGAGGCTGCAGTGAACTGGCGTAAGTCGGTTTACTTTTTACCGCAGGACATGTCCTTAGAAGTTGACTGGGGTATGAAGAGAACAGAAAAGGGGGAGGCGGAGAGATTCTTAGGAGTCATGATAGCAATGGACTCCTGCCAGAAAGCTCAGGAGGAGGTCCTGCAGAACAGGGTGGTAGGAAGGGTAAAGTCTTGGGGAGGAGCATCCCACCTTTCCATTTTTGGAAGAGCTATGGTAATAAATGCGTCTTTGTTTTCCTTACTTTGGTTTGTGGGTAAGGTTCGCCTGCTGAGTACGAGCTTTGTGTCATATTTGCGGAGGTTCGCGGCGAAGTTTCTGTGGAAACCCAAAGCGGGTGAAGGGGAGGGTTTTGTTTCTGAAGTTGCTTGGGACTTGATTACTCAACCGAGAGCGGAAGGGGGTTTAGGTATCACTGACCCACACAGGCAAAACTGCTTCCTTTTAACACAGTGGATTTCCCGAGTTGCCTTAGCGTCTGGAACAGAACACTGGCTGCTAATGGGAGAGCACATTCTCTCAGAAGAATGGGGTCTGGCTAGGAAGGAGGATGTTTGGCTTTGTTTGCAGCTTGATTCATTCGTAAACAGGAAGATCTGTTCCCCCTTTTGGGCAGGAGTAATCAGTGCCTGGAAGAAGATGAGACCGGATGAATGGAGAAGACCGGCAACAAAACAGGAAGTTCTGATTCAGTCGTTGTTTGATAATCCATATATTTTGCAGTCTGACGGCTCTAGATTCAAAGCCAACAGATGCCCAGGCTCCTTTGGAGACAAATGGGTAAGGAAAGGTATCCTGCGAGTAAGGGACATCTGGAACGAGATCCTAGGGCAATGGCACTCTTCTTCTACGATTCGAGAACTTTTGGGAAATCTGAATCAAGTAGAAGAAAAACTGTACTTATTGATAGAAGCCATCCCTGAGGATTGGAAGGCCCTTTTAGCGCCAGATGGGCTTGATCCCCCTGGTACCTGGTACTCGTGTGATCAGGAGGAGCCCAAACTCTCGTTTTGGAAGCTGGTCTCCTATGAGCAGGATGGCACAAGAAAGTTTGAAGAATGGGCTCGGACTTCAGCCTTAGAGGAACATGTATTCAAAAGTCATGAGGACTCCCCCCCCTCTCTGGGATCATCCCTGTCTCAAGTCAGAATGGAAGAATCCTGGGAAATTGAAGAACGCCACACAGTCAAACTGGTGAGTAAACAAGACATAATGAAATGTAAGCTGGATCCGACAGGCTGGGGGTGGAGGGGTAAAGGCAAGCAAGGAGACTCCTTAATGCTGTACCAGAGGAGCCTGTCACCCGATGGTTTTCCACCGGCGAGGCAGCCGTTAGCTGTGGCTACAGAGCGTTGGCAAAGCAGACTGCCAGGACTACCGGATACTTTCAGTATAGGGCTGTCGAATCTGTGGAGGCAACTGAAGGTCCTTCCTTCTCAGAAACATGCAGCTGTTCTTTGGCTGCTCTCTTCACTGGTGACGCCGTCGTCAGTCTGGCTCACGAGTAAAGGAATGGATATTAGAATTTCCTGTACTCGTTGTACCTGGGCACTTGAGTCTACGTTCCACTTGTGGTGGGACTGTCCATCCTCCAAAAGAATTTGGGACTGGTGGTCAGCCCATTGGAAGGACTTCGCCAAATGGGATTGGGAATGGAACCGGGAATGGGTGCTCCTAGGGATCCTACCAACCAACATGTTGCTAACAGAGGGTTGTGGGTATGTGATTCAAGCATGCAGGGCGGATGCATGTACATCATCACTTTACCAAACATTTCTCAAAACAAACGGGCATCGTACAGAGTGAAGTGGTGGGGAGCATATTTTGTAGAGACGTTATCATATGAGGATTGGGCATTGGAGAAGGCTCAAACGAATGCGTAGGATACATCCGAATCAAACTGTGTACAAATTATCAGATGCTGAAGTGACCAATGACCTTATAATTATTTTGAAAGATCTCACTGGATTTTGAAGACAATTGACAACTGATGAGAACTAGATTGAAAAGCGAAGACAAATTAAAAACAGAGCGGGACACCCAGCCTATATATTATGAAGTCATAACTATTGCAATAGTTTCGAAAGATCTCACTAAGCAGGCACACAACCATTCTCAAGACAAGTGAGAAGTACGCCGTAAAAACTGATAAAAGTTATCTAGTCCCAATATTGTGAATTCGTAACAGTTACCTCAAAAGTTTCCATTAACCAAAGAGTTGGCAAGGCTATCCAAATCAAGAACACCCACTACGCCATGAAATGTGAACTAAACCTTGCAAAACTGAGTCCCACGTTCTACACAACCAAACAGTTTGCAAGGCGAGGACGCAGGATGAATCAGAAACCCTCAGTACTTTACAGTCTGAAAATTTCAACTAATCGAACATTCGAACACAAAACTTTGGAAATGTCGAGATTTATCTCTGAAAAAGCCTACGCTTTGAAAACATTCACAAACCCGACATCCTGACGGAACTCTAAAAATGTAAGACTCGTTACGAAAGTGTCCTGAACTTGAAATATTCAAAAGAAGCCTCTTCGCAAATCGTTCACTAGCGGTTCCCATGTTGAATCATCCACAATGCAAGCCGGGATAGGAGGTTGAGGCAGACCTTCGAGCCCCGTAATGGAAACCGAGAAACCCTAAACGTCTCCCCTTGCCATGACAACAGCACGTCTCAAGGACACAAGAACATCTGCAGCTTGCAGATAAGCTGCTGGAAAATCTCCCAGCATCCAGTTTTACACTTGACGCTCTTGTATTCGCTTGTCGTAACAGTATCCTTATTCTCTGGTTCGGATGCATCCGAACCACAACCGACCATGAGCTACGGTCAACACTCGTGGCTTTGAAAAATACTCTACAGTGTGCAAATTTCAACTAATATGACATTCGACCACAAAACTCGGAAAATGTCGAAACTCGTCTCTCAAAGTGGTGAAAATTAAAAATAATCAGAAAATGCCTATACTACGAAAATGTTCACAAATCCGACATAATGACACAAAACTCTAGAAACGTAAGACTGGTCACCAAAAGTCTTAAAAAGTTGAAGTCTTCAGAAGAAGCCTCTTCGCAGAGCGTTCACTATCGGTTCCCATGTCGAACCGTCCACCATGCAAGAAGGGATTGGAGGTTGAGGCAGACCTTCAAACTCCGTAATGGCAAACGAGAAACCCTCAATGTCACCCCCTGCTCCGAGCACAGCACGTATCAAGGCGAAAATAACTTCTGAAGCTTTTAGATAAACTCATGTAAAATCTCCTCGCATCCAATTTTCTCCGCGACGCTCATATATTCGCATGTCGAAAATGTTCAGATCASTAAACCTCACCATGATGACAAACATTGTCCGTCCACCCGCTACATTCGTGAAGATTCTCTCATATTGAAAAGGAAACGTTCCTCCCTTTGTGACGATCGTCAGTCGTTCAGACACTTTATTTCAATGAAGCCCGAATTCTCAGCCATGTTTTCGAAGTACGTCAAAAGAGGAAAGTCTGCACACTGCAAAAGACAAAAGTCACAATAAAAGTGTTTCATCAAGGTCAGGATCGAAAGCCGGAGGTCATGCTACGACGACCAAAACGGCCCCACGCTCAATGTCGAAAATTGA